TACACAAGTACAGGTCCATTTACCGTTAACCATTTAATGTCTTTGTTTCTGTCACCAGCAATATGTGGTAGCTCTGTGGACAATCCAGATGTTGCTGAATACTACGAAGCTGTGCCTGTTGATGGAGTGATCAAATGTGTGACTGTGTGTAACCATCTACATCCACATCCTAAAACATGCTACAATAATGGAAGCTGTAATGTGTACATGAGCATTGGACCTCTTTGCAAGTAAGTTGACCGTGCTCTTAGTTGGATGTTTATAAAAACTTTTATGAACTTTTTTGTATAATAAACAGATTTTTTTTTCCAATTCCCTGCACCCACCTACTTTATATCTAGTCCTGCAAAGACATGAACAGATGTATCTTTTGTATATTTCTCCAACTAGATCTTCACTGCAGTGGTGGGAATAGTACTAATATATTTTCTTAAAGCTGCAGTAGGTAACTTTTTTCATATTTGCTGAAACTTTCACTATATACTGAGTAGTACATGAGACAGATAATCTGTAAAAATTTGCTTCCTCTGGCTCCTAAGTCTAATGGAATCTGCTATACTTGAAAACAACCAATCAGAGCCAAGATAGATAGTTTATTGTTCATTGCTCATTCCCAGATTGTACAGAAATACTCACATGGAAATGAGACTCAATAATTAACTATCTTCAAGCCACTAACACGAAACATCTTTCTATCTTTCTCGGCTCTCATTGGTTGTTTTTGTTCAGGCAGTAGTACATGAGACAGATTATCTGTCTCATGTACTATTGTCAGGATATAATGAAGTTGTATACCTAGTGCAGCTTTGAGTAAAATACAGAAGTATTAGCATCAACCACAATATACCAAAAGTAAAAGTAGTTATTATGCAGAATGGGCCGTTTTAGAATAATGTATATTATATATGTGGATTATAAATAATGGTACATCATGTGTAAGGATCACTTTAATGTTGCATCTGGTAAAGGTGGGGCTGATTTCAATGACTTTGCTGCTGGGTAACTTTATATAACATCTGATAATACATCATATGGAATGGAAGCGTTAGACTCTTACCTTAACTGGCAATAAAAACTACTAGCTATAAAAATACCGCTGTAAAATGTCACTTGTCAGACAACCTCTCCTGTGGTCCAACATAGGACCAGAATGAATCATCTGTGGTTATACAGTGGGCTGAGATATATATGTGGCTACCAGATCTGGGCCACATAATTTATTGCTGTATTTGGGCCGAGTCTACGGGCCAGACCAATTTTGCTACCTCTTTTATATTCAAAGAGAAAGATATTTAAATTACCAAAAAATTGCTAAATTACGAATCAATGCATACAACTAAGTATATAGTAATCATATCACCTTAACATCTTCGGTTTGAAATTAGAGTTAACTACTAACTAAAGAACTAAAACTAACTAAACAAATTTAATAAAAATACTAAATCTGCAGTAGATAATTTTTAGATTCGATTATAGTCATATTTGCAGAAACTTTCACTGTATCACAAGAGTAGACCACGAGACAGAAAATCTATGAAAAAATCTGATTTCTCTGGCTCCTCCTAGTGCTCCTAATGGCATTTGCAAGAATTTACTGGGCCTGAATGAAAACCACCAATCAGAGCCAATGAAAATAGTTAATCTTTGAGTCTCATTTCCAGGCCGTCAAATACAGACACTTGGGACTCAATGAGACTCAATAATCACCTATCCTCAAGCCCGTTTATATCTTTCCCAGCTGTTAGGAGCACTAGAACGAGCCAGAGGAACCAGATTTTTCCCTTAGAATATTTAAGAAAATGTATGATGTACGACTATACGGATATAATGAAAGTTTCAGCAAACATTACAAAAAGTTATTTTTATAAAACTTACTGCAGCTTTAATTGTCTTTAAATATTTTTAATAAATGTTTCTTTGTGGTGCCTTATCGGACTTGTTTAGCATAGTTCTTCGCTGTAGTTAAACTGTGTTCTTCCTTCTCTGTTTCAGGTGTCAAAATGTGAATTCCACTTGGTACCTGAGTGATGACTGTAGCTTCCCGATACAGAGGACTGCTTTCTACGCAGGGTTAAGTGTAACCCTTGCTTTTCTGTTAATGTCTGTGGGAGCCTTGACTGCATACATTCTGATCAACAAACACAAGCAAACACAGTAAGTACTCTGTCAGTACTGGCTGTCAGTACTTTGACAACTTTAAGGACAAAATGTTCACTTGTTACCTAATATATCCCATCCACTGACAGGTGCCATGATAAAAAAGCTAATCTGTTTCCTTTTTGTCTACAGGAGAAGAGACATTAAAAAGGTGACGGTGAATGATTGGCTGAATGAGGACTTTAACTGGTCCAGATCCAGCAACCCAAGTAACAGATATCATGCTGGTAAGTTTGTTTTATAAAAACACACACCACTGCCTCTTTCCTGCTGCAGATGTGACCTACAGTATTCATCAGTCAATTAATCCAATTGTATTTTTGTTCTATATGTAACTTTAAGAAAGCTGTTGTTATTAGTGACACCAGTGGCCTGCAGCAAACTGCAATCAGCATCCCAATGCTTGCACTCTGAACGCAGTCTGTAGGCTGTAGGTTCTGTGGCAATGATTTTCTAGGCTGAACAACTACCAACCTAAGCAAATAAAGCCAACACTGAAGTACCAAAAACTACAGTCCCTCTAGCGGCCACTTCAGGATGGCTCCAGCAGTGAGTCAATCTCCATATGGGGCTAAATAGTGAGTCTAAAACGACATAAAATGACAACAGTCACCCAACGTGCTAGCTGCCCCAAAAACTTAACTTATGTATAGATCTGTGTTGATCATCCTGGTATCATTCATCCTTACTGTTTTCTAGGAGATTACAGAAACCCTTCATACACAGAAGAAGAATCAGCTGTCGGAGAGGAGTGCACTGATAACAGACAACCTGTACCTTTCTACCAGCTGACTCGAGAATCGAGCCCATCAGCAAGCATGCACTCTCCTTCACGAACAGCACACAGACACGATTCTCTACTTTCGGATGCTCGAAACTTGCAGTCTGCCGGTTGGCCTCAACCGGATATATCCGAACAGCCAGTCAGTCCACATTTATAGAAACACTGAAGATTTTTGTTTTTGTTTTCCAAATTTCAATCATTATTTCATATTTGTTTCTTCCCACAGATGAGGATAGGCAGGCCTCGGATCAGGACTTCTTGGGATGCCTGAGCTGTGTACTGAAAATTGACAGTCTCAACTGTTGATAATGATGACTTTCTTTGACCTATTTTTGCTGCCTAATATAAGCAACTAAATCTTTATAACATTGTTTGATTTAATTATTGATTTCTTTACTGCAAGCCAAATTGTTAATTTATATTTCATATTTCTGATTCTGTTATGAATGCTACCTTTATAAAGTTTCTATTCTGCATCTGTGTTGAGGCTGCTCTCGGAGATGTACTGATCCATCTCGGTGCTTGTTTGTGAGCCTGTAGTAAGTGGTGATGTTGCATTATAACATGCACAAACATGAGGGGCACAGAGTTTCATGGTCCAGTGTGAAAGGTTTTGTGGCATGGTGTAGTTCCATTTACGACCCCCTTGCCTCACACTCCAGTTGCAAGCAAAACACATTTTTCAACAAGGGCATAAATCATCAGAACACCTGTTCCTTTCAATAAAATAAAAAGTAAATAAAAAAGAATAAAATAAGGATAACACAACAATTCTTATTTTTAGGTCATACACTAATGTGATCAGGTGATTATACAATAATGAAAACATACCTATGAAAATTAAATTCCATT